TTTTTTTTTTTTTTTTTTTTTTTTTTTTTTTTTTTGTCCATGTCACATTTCTAAAGTTAGAGTAGCATAGTGCTGTGTGGCTTTAACTGTTTTTGACAAGGAGGTAATGGACTCTCATTAACATAGAGGACGGAGTACTGAACTATGATGATATGTATCAAGCATTGGGCTCTGCCCTCTCATTTTTCTCCCCTCCGAGGAATCATATGATGGGAGTTGATAGTTCGAAGGTCCATGGGAAGCTTATTTTTGAAATTCAGACTTTTTTGTCTTTTCATGATCATGCTCCCTAACACAGAGACTGTTTACCTGGTTTTGATTAATGATTGATGTGGATACCTTAATAATGTTTTCTTCCCATTAAAGCTTATTTCCCAGCTTGAGAGGTTAAGGATTTATCCAGTGCTTGTGTTTTCTTTTTTCTCTTTTGTTTTGGCACAATTCAACTGTTTGTCGTAGATTCGTTGCTTGGTCCTTTGGGCATTGGGCCATAGTAATTTCCTGGTTAACCTTTAGAACAGCTCTATTCTTATTATTTCACGAAATTTTAATTTTCCTTTTTGCAGATCACAAGTTATCTTGAGCATAAATTTTACAGGGAATTGCGAAATGGGCAACTTCACTCCGTGAAGATCATCATATGTATCTACAGAAAGCTGTTGGTTTCCTGTAAAGCGCAAATGTGAGTTACTTATTTAATTTTGTAGTGGAATTAAATATTTTAAATATTAATATCACTTTCCTTAATATCTTCCTATGAGGATGCCTATAGAACTTGCACCAGGAAAGATAGATATGGTTGAGTGGTGCAAGCTGCTGATACATGCGTACATCTCAGTTATATCAATGACTTTCTGAAGCAAGTAGAACTTGTTCATGGCAACCAAATGAACTCGAACTCGGATACAAAATATATTTTAACCCTCTTCTCTCATTTCAAACAAACAAATTCCTTCCTTTTCAGAATACTTGTTATTGTAGATGACCTTGCATACAAGTCCTTAGGAATTGCTATGCTCTATGAACAAATGGTTGTACTTTGATTGCTCTTCTTTTCACAGTACTTAGTGACCAATTCTACTATTCAGACTTACATTAGGATTTGGGTCCAATTTTCCAAGTTATATAATAGAGGCTGACTTATCTTTAGGACATTGGTATTGCCTGTAGTAGTTATAGGCGGGACAAGAGTACTATGTTTATTATAAATGAACACAAGGTAATTTAATTGTATTTGCACTTTAGTAGCACTTTCATTTCTTTCATTCATTTTTTTAAGCTTCTAGGGTCTAACATCTTTCACTTTAATTTGTATTTTCAAGCTGGTTAAAAATAGTTGGGTATGGAAAATAAATATTTGGTTAAAATATGGTGTAGTTTTTGACTTTTTCTATTATAATTCACATGCTTTCAAATGTCCAAATTTAGTCATGTACTTTTAATAAATATGGCTAACTTTTTTTTTTTTTAATAGTCATGCGGGACAAGAGTACAATGATTATTATAAATGAACAAATTTAGTCATGTACTTTTAATAAATGTCCCAATGTCCAAATAATTATGGCCAACTTTTTTTTTTTTTTTTTTTTTTATAAACTTTAGTCTCTATTAGTCTTTCCTTACATCCTATAAATTTTGAAAAATATATTCACATGGTATCTTTTCTTAAATTTATTATTATTTTACCAAGTTCCATAGAAACTAACTTCGAACTAACAATAAGGACTTCTTTAATATTTATTGAAAGTACATAAACTAAATAGAATGTGTCCCAAAATACAAACATCAAAATGTTATTTTAACCTAAATTTTTTAATGTTTTTTCACATACAGGTTGGATGAAATTATGTATTTGTGTAAATTGTTTGGATTTTTTAATGGCCTCAAGTATCTGTTACGTGTACATCCTTGTGATTGGATTTCAAATTAATATCTTCTGTTCACTTCTTTATTAAAATGTTGTGGTTCATGTGTAAAATTATTTTATATTGTTAGAAGTTTTAAAACACCATAATAACCTTTTAGCCTAATGAGAATATGAATTGAGATATTTTTCTTCTAAGTTCAGTGGAATCTTGTGCAATAGATGGAGAATTGATTTCCTGGTTGATAATAAGCATGCTTATCGATTTGTTATATCTCCTGACTTGATAACGTGACACTTCCATGCATATGAAAGTTGTAATCATAACAAACTATTGCAGGCCTCTATTTGCAAGTAGTTTGCTTGGCATCATCCACGTTCTACTAGATCAAGCACGTCATGATGAATTGCGAATTTTAGGATGCCGAGCTCTCTTTGATTTCATTAATAACCAAGTAAGGTTTTCCAGTATGGTATGCTTATATTTTTTATGATTGTTTAATCTATTTTTGGAAGGATGCGATGAGTTAACTTAAACTTGTTCCTTGAAAATCCTCATTATTTTTATGTACTTTTATTGCCTGTGCAGAGGGATGGTACTTATATGTTTAACTTAGATGGAATGATTCCCAAACTCTGCCTTTTAGGGCAAGAAATAGGGGAGGAACAGAGAGAAAAACAAATGCGTTCAGCTGGCCTTCAAGCCCTCTCATCTATGGTAATCAGCATTGCATTTATTTGGATGTATTACTATGTATTATATATTTATGCACGTACTGAATGTGTTGGTCTTTCAAAGTCAGTAGATTAATTTTGAATCTCTACTTCTTCTGTATGATGGAAAATAGAGTGGAAAAATGATCTTAAAATGATGCCCACAAACATTGCTTTTGTAAGGCCATAGTCTTGACTCACCTAAGCCACCCAAAGGACATTTTGGATCGGAGAAGGTGTCTGAGATCTTTCTTTGGGTTTTGGGAAAAGGAAGTAGTTGAGAGGATTCAGAATAAATGGGTTAAACAAGAATGCAGTTATAAATCTATGGAACCTTCGTTTCTCATTAAAAAAACAAATGCATTTGCAGAACATCTCTTTTACAAAACAAATGTAATGGCCTACCTAGGAAGGAGTTTTTCCATCTTACCTCCTGATATGAATATGCATTGAAGACCAGAGTGGAAAACTACTTTTCAAATCAAAGCCTAAACCAGTCCCTTTGCAATGAGTCCTACTTTGACTCGCTGAATCTGAAATTTTGGGTTGGAAAATGGACCTTTGTTACCACCTTTTCGGGGCTGATCACTATGTCCTTTGACTGGTGCTGTGTTCAAGCAGCAAAGGTTCCACATGTTGCAGGTGGGTATCATCTGCAAAGGAAGGAACATTGAAGCAGAGTGGACTGTAAGATCTTTGAATGGAGAAGACCCAAAGCATTCCTTTTCTGAATATGAAACAAAACTCAAAAAAAAAAAAAAAAAAAAAAAGTTATCCTGAACTAATTTTTTCTTCCAATGTACGCTTTTTTTTTGTACCATTTAACATTTAGATGGCATTCCAGTTCTCTCATTTATGCAATATTTCTGTTGAAGAACCATATTTTCTTTCTTGTCATTTTGGAAATTATTTTCTTATCTGAGTGCGTTCAACCTGCAGATTTGGTTTATGGGTGAATTTTCCAATATATCAGCAGAATTTGACAATGTGAGTTGCTTTGCATTATCACATAATTATATTTTTCTTGCTCTAATTCCTGAAGTTACTACAGCTTTTCTACCCGTGGGAACTGACATTTTTCTCCGTCAAATTGAACAAGTATGAGGAAGCAAGATTAACAATTTAGATAATTTCCTTATGGCTGTGGCATGTGATAAATATGCCTATCTCTTATAGTTCTTATTTATTATAGATATTTTACCTCACACTCATTGTTATTTCTTCCGTTGGTGGTATTAACTTTTGTAAAAAATTTAGTAACATTTTCATCTTCCATGTGAATTAGGTTATATCTGTTGTCTTGGATAATTATGGGGATCTTGAAAATTATGCCTGTTCTTCTGGCCATGATGAGCAAGATACTCAGGATGTCACTGCAGCAGTTTCCCATTCACGTGAACACATAACAAGGATGTGTTCATGGAGGATGATAGTAACTGAAAAGGGAGAAATTGTTGTATCCCTGTAAGTCCATGTCTCAGTATTCCATAATTATGTTTGCATGTCAATTTTACAAGTCTTATCATTCTTATACATATCTAACAGGGAAGACGCTCAGAACCCAGAATTTTGGTCCAGGGTTTGCCTACGTAACCTTGCTAAGTTGGCTAAAGAAGTTACAACAATGCGACGTGTCTTTGAATGTTTCTTCCGTTATTTTGATAACGGAAATCTTTGGTCTCCAAAACTTGGGATTGGTCTTTCTGTCTTAATGGATATGCAATTGATAATGGAGAATTTAGGTAATATTTTCCTTTGAATTTTTTCTAAAGTCGGTGCCTTGGAGATCTAAACTACTACTTCCCACTTATTCGTATATTTCCATAATTGTTCTAGTGGTTCTTATGAAATACATTTATTTGATACAGGGCACAACTCCCACTTCATGCTTGCAATTCTCATCAAACACCTAGATCACAAGAATGTTTTAAAAAATCCTACCATGCAGATTGACATTGTTAATATCGCCACCTCCCTTGCTAAGCATTCAGATGCTCAACCATCAGTGGCCATCATTGGTGCGCTAAGTGATACAATGAGACATCTTCGAAAAAGTATACATTGCTCCCTTGATGATGCTAACTTGGGGGTGGAAGTTGTACAATGGAACCAAAAAAACCAAGCTTCAATTGATGCTTGCCTCGTGGAGTTGTCGAAAAAGGTAATTATCCTTTCATTTGTACTCCCAAGAGCGGTTGTTAGGCCAAAGTTTCCCTTCAAACCGGTAACTAAAGATTCTTTACCGACATCATGGGGTACCAGGAAACACCCGTTTAAAGGCCCCATCAATATAACATTCCCTCATTACTGTAGATAAAGATTACAGTTGTTCTTGAAGAGCATTTCATTGAGATGGCTAGCAGAAAAATCGAGGTATGGAGGAAGAAATAGATATCACCATAATCTCTGGTGATTTCAGCAATGCTGATGACTAGCATAATCGCTGAGCATCTACGCCACCATGGGACATGTGTGGCTTGGGATAAACATCAGCAGTGAATCAGACCTTGAAGAAATATATGAAAATCGTGACAAAGCCATACCTTTTTGAATGATATAGGAAAAAAGAGAAAGAATGGGCAAGGGCTAGGAAGTCAATCCACAAATAGTTATTGCTTCAAGATTTGCTCCAAGAAGACACACGTTGAATAGAGTAAGCTTCAAGATTTGATGGATGGTGGAACGTTGAATAGTTTGGTGATTTGGTAAAAAAAATGTCAAGAGTTTCTTCATGTGTACCGAGGAAAATAGAGTAAGCTCCTTGATTAAACTACATTCAAGCATCTTCACACGGTGGGACCTACTACAAGCTAATTTAAAAAGAGTAGGGGAAATTCCTACAAGATAGTGGCCTACAGTGAGCAAACTATTGAAGGACCACACACCTGAAAATTATGGGCAATTACTGTATAATTAATATCATAATTGCTGCAACCAAGTAGCGGAGTGGCTGAATTCATCGGTGAATGTACTGAGTGAATGCAAGGAATATCATCAGTGAGACAAATCCAGAAAATCTTAAGATTCATTAATGGACTTTCATCTCACGGAGGCCATGACATTAATCCTGAAGATTGAAAAATACTGAATAGGGCAGCTACATAAGCTATACATGGAAACAAGTGATGGACTCACATACTATGTTACACAATCAGTCCCAAAATGACATTAAGGACGGCTGAAAAAAAAAAAAAAAAAAAA